TACGGCTTATTTCTGCATTTCCAGCAAAATTATCTCCCCCCATTCACTGCATGGTTTCGTCCCGTCCTACATAGCCTAGAGTCACTGAGTGAGATCAGATGGTAAACTGTTAAATTAGAGATGTCTTCGAGTTCGAGGGGGGGCAAACCGAGCCGGACGATTTGGTCAGACACACTTTTAAACACATTTTAGTTTTGCTATAGAAAATCTTCAAATTCACACTCTGATTACATAGAGCAGCAGCAGGAAGCGCATGAGGTTGTCATGGCAACCAGATACACTGCACGCGAATTACGGCTGCGCTTCTATTTTGCCACACTAAACTTAGGAATAAACACGTTGAAAATAATACACAATAAACATGTCTGTCAAAACGATATCAAAGGAGGCTTTTATTAAGCAAATCAAGGAGTGAATTACTCATCCACTGTTTGCTCCTGGCAGTGTGTAAGATTGTAGCTTGTGGGTCTGTTTTATCAGGTGAATAGGTGTCGTTCTTTGGTCCAAACGATTTATTTCTTTATCGTTTCATTTCACTATCCTTTAATCCTTTTCTTTGATAGTTCTGCTTATTTCTACTTTCTTTCATCTGCTCACCCCCAGTTTTTCCTCTGTATCCCTCGTCCTTTGATTCAGTTGAGCCACCCAGTTCCCAAATGGAATCAAGGGTAAACTACAATGATAATGACAGTATAATATCCTCTCTACCCAGACTGGTTTCTCAGATAAAACAAAAATATCTTTAAAGTGGCTGATCTGTAGTGAAGGACTCTCTCACTTCATCTGTCACCTGTCTGGCTTTAGAGCTTTGCTGTTTCTCATTACATCAAAGCATAAGAAGCATCATTGTGGTATCTTCACAGCCTTATCTCAGATCAGCTAAGCCTGGATACTGGTTTTATCCATGCAAATGATCAGGTGATAGTATGTGTGTCATCAGATTAAAAAAGCAGGCTTGTTGTGTGCATGTGCAACATAGTGAACAAGCAGCATTGTATGCTCGCATGTGTGCATGCCTTTTATGCAGTATTTAATAATAAAACCGTAATATAAAATCAATAAAATGCAACAAGGTTACACACTATTACACTGTGAAACTAAATTATAAACTATATACAAAAATCCCATTCTTTATCAAACAAATACCATGTGTGCTAATGCACGTTTTCATGGTAAAGGGCCGTGTTAGTCACACAGCCTTCGTCGTTCACGCAGGACGGTGTGCAGGTGTGCATATATGTGGCATGCGGAGGGCTGAGGATTCAGCCTTCAGGACCACCAGCTGGTCCACGTCGCATTAGACAGATCATGCAGCAGATAGATTATGCAAGCCAACCGTACTCATGTGAGCTTCATGTAAATGTATCCAGTCTGTCCTGTGTATTATTTAAGCAGTATCACACGAGCTGCAAGCAAGAGTGTTGTCGTAATATTGTTCAATAAACAAGGAGTTGATACTCAATATCTTACATTTTAGGGTATGTTTACATGGCAACGATGTACTAAAGTACTTTTTAGTTGAAAACAGTGTTGTGTAAATGCCCCCTTTGACGCAATTTTAACGGTTATTTTAGCTATTTTCACTTTGACAATTAATTTTTTTTCTAATCAAAGCTCCTTTGAGCAAGACAGTTATTTTTTTGCTCCTGAATGAAAGTGTTTATGAACAAATTGTTTTAGTCAATGATTCAATGACTAATTCATAAAGACAGCTAGTTGTTTCATTCCTGAATAAATCAGTGTTTTTGAACAAATCATTTGAGTGAATGATAAAACGCCATCCACTGGCATATTGATGTAACCTGCAGAAAGAGTCAATGAAAAATCCCCACCACAGTCAGTATTATCAACAAAAACTAAAACCAAAACTATTAGTTCATTAAAAAGTTTATATAAAGTTCAAGGTGGAGTACATAACTTAAAAACTTAAATAGAATATATAGAAAAATAAATGTTAAATTAAAAATAATAATGGACACAACAAAATTATTAGAACTTAAACTAAATTTAGATTTAAAACATAAAAATAAATGAAAATGTTTTCAGCACTAAAAGCTAATTCAAAACATCAATAAACATTATAATAGTATATATATATATATATATATATATATATATATAAGAAGTATAGTGTAAAAATGTTTTGTCAGATAACCTAAAAATGTACTTTATGTGCTTACATCTTCAACTGACTTTACTGAAGTATTATTTGATGTGTCTGAACCAACCTGACTACTTTAGGTTACACCAAACTGAAGTTATATTTAAGATTGATATTATGTAAAATATTCTATGTTGTTACAGTGTAAGATTTAAAAAGTGACGTTTGTTTGGTTTACCTCAAGAATTACACATTTATTGGTTCTTTAAACTTAAGCAAAGCTGTTGATTTTAATATGGGAACAAAGTTTAATAATTTCATATACTGCGTACAACTGCATGCTCAGCACCATTCAGTTTTCATCTCCTAGATGAGTTTTGCATTTAGAATGACTTGGAGAACAGCCTTGATATTATTGCGACCCACTGAATGTATCCTCTCTCTTGATTCTAGCTGATGAGTGTGAAAGTAATTTCCTTCGAAAATGGTGCAAGAGCTGATTTGAATAACAAACTATGTATAGACTTGATCTGCATAAAATCATGGTAGGTGCACATGGATTGGCTGGATGGTTTTGGCAGGATCTTTTCATAGATGAGAAAATAACCCAGCTGTGGTTAGTGCAGGTGGCTCATCTGAATCAGTCTCTCCCACATTCATAGGCAAATGAGCGGACCGAGTGACGCTGTGACTATCAGAGTGTAAATGCACTTCCTCCTGACTTGTTGTAGGTTTAAGTGTGTCACTGGGCAGCATGACGGAGGTGATGAACAGCTGTGACTCCGCAGTGGGAGACTACAGTGTGAGCGGTGCATCCGAGGAGCAGAACATCTCTTTTCAGGTTGGTTGCGCTCCTCTTAGTCAACTGGCTGGATGCTCTCTTGAAATTCATATCAATGTTTTTATTCAAGCCACAGGAACAGGGCTAATGAAATGCAAAAACAAGTAAGGAATAATATATACAGTCACTGGTCATTTTCAAATACAGGGATTTAATACAGATTATGATCATCTGACTTATTAAATTGCTATTTGCCAAAAATAAATAAATACAAGAAATAAAAATAGAAAGACAAAGGGAATGCATGGACATGAAATATTGATTTGAGTTATTTTAAATTAATTTGTATTTTCTTACATGGATGTTAGCTAATTTAACCTGTTAACCCGCACCGGCCCGTGGGGCGTGTTTAGGCGTGTCTGTGCTATTTATTACCTTTGTTTAAAAAAAAATATTCAATCAACTATCATAAACTATATATCATTTGGAAGCTAAAACGTTTCAAACAATACCAGATTTATAAATATAGACCATAGGGTTCAAGAGCTACAGACATTTTTATTTGGGTATGTCGTTTTTCAGAAAATGCTCAAAAATAGGGGCGCACAGTAAGTGGTTAATAGTTAATTTAATTTAAAAATAACTGGTCTAGCAACAGAACAAACACTGCAATGTACATTTGTACAATCTAAAATGTAAATTTTAAATTAATTTGTATAATTATAATAATTAAATTTAATCTGCAATCCATCCTTTTTTGTGGACCTACAATGTAACATGTCTTCCTCTATTTCTCTTTAAATTTCTGGTTCGCTGTTTTTAGCATTGCTTGGCGATGTTTTAATTTTCTAGGGAACTCCTAGTCTTCTGCCAGAAGGTTTATGCTTACAATAATTTTTTATACTGAAGTGTGATTTGCAAGATGGCGCCAGTGAGAAATTCTAACTTCCGCAAAGCAATATGAGAGACCTGAAAATAGCACCATTATATGTCGTCATAGACAATGATAACATATTTATCTAAAGCCCGTTCTCACATTAAGAATGATAACTATAACAATAACTGTTTTAAGTGGGTGGGAAACCGGAATAAAAAAACTAACATTCCCACAATGTTGGCAAAATGATAAAGAATGTTCCCTTAACATTCACATAACAACAACAACAACAACAAAACTGATATTTTGAACATTCAGAGAATGTTAGAAAAACATTATTAGAACTTTTTTTTTTTTTAGCTGGGTCTTTTAGGTGTTTTTAACCTACTCTATAGTAGGGAAGTATGCGATTTTGCATGCAGCCATACTTTAAAGCTTAACTGATATTTTGAACATTCAGAGAATGTTAGAAAAACATTAGAACTTTTTTTTTTTTTAGCTGGGTCTTTTAGGTGTTTTTAACCTACTCTATAGTAGGGAAGTATGCGATTTTGCATGCAGCCATACTTTAAAGCTTCTGAAAGTGACTCTAAAGGGCCATTCACATAGAATGCAAAATCTATAAACGCGTTTTTTAAAAGTTGAACTTCTTTTAACAAGTTGCGTTTTTAGAATGCTGTGTCATGCACAAGACAATGCAAAAGATGCACGGCATGTGTGCAACAGTCAAACACGTCCATCTAGTGCATGTTTTGCATAGAAAATTAATCAAAAAGCGGCACAATGGAATGTGAACGACCCCCTAAAGGTGTCATTCCTCTGTGTCCTTTATAGTTGTGCTATGGATACTATTCTCATAGAACTGTATTTTTCATTCTTGGTGCGTCCATTAAGTGGCATTTTACAAAAACATTTGAGCAGTCCCACGATTGACCAATCAAAACCAGCTATTCCAGAGAGCAGGGTAGGTTACATTTTAAATCATGGTCAGACACGCATACATGCTGAGTGTTTTTCCGGTTACCTGATAGATGACTGTGATGGGTCTCAGTGGGTCTAATTGGAGCTTTACCTCCATTATTTCAGCCTGATTGGAGTCCCTTTCATTTTGCGCACATCGCTACAAAAAGCCAATCAGATGCCTGCTCGTTCATACAGCCTGCTGGATGAATTCAGATTCCTCTCAGACACTCAAGAGAGACTCGAAAGGTCACAATCTTTTCAGGAATTGATCATCATTACCTTTTCTTTACCACAGGATGAGCAGTGCTATCATATGCTAGCTGAATGAAACATGTCTGAATCTGTCATTCACTCTGTCATAAGCTCTTTCTGTGCTGTGTAAACCAACATGCAATGCACACCCTTTTCCACTGTTGGTACAGATGCTTTTAGACCATTCACGTCTCACTTGATACCCCACGTTGCAGACACACACTCAAGACGCTCTTGTTCACACTTCACTGCAATTTGTGGAGAAATAAACATACACAGCGTGAGTCACATTCTGCTCTCGTGAACTCGGCTGTGCTATGGCAATAAGACTCACCCAAGGCGTGAGGTGAATGCCAAACACATCATTAATAAAAACCCATCAAGGAGTTTTTGATGGAACTGCAGGAGGGGAGCTTTTGTAAACATATATTTACTCATATTATAAGTGATTGCCCCCCCCCCCAAAAAAAAGATTTCATTCTTCACTCTGATTGCTTATAATGGGAATGCACTGAAAATTTCAAGTAGGATTTAGTGCTGAATGCTTCCAAGGTTAAAACAGGTTGACCTGACAACAGCCTGCCTTAAAATTTATTTTTAATAGGCATTTTTTGTTTTGTTTTCCAGTAAATATTTGATAAAACATATCATGAATATATATAATTTCTCTTTACTTTTTTGTGTTAAGCACAAAAGAAACAAAGTTTTGTGAGGTTTGTGCTAAAATTAAAACTTCTGCTTCCAATAGGATGGTTTAATGAGATCCTTAGATCTTTAACAGAGGAAGTAAAGGTCAAATCATGCTGTTTCATGAAAACTGTTGAGAACTTCAGCTCACTGAACTGTCATGTACTGTGGCCTCTTATGATCCCTTTCTTATAGATCTTCCCAGACTCCCATGAACGGTTCCCAAAGCTTTCCAAACGCTTGCCATCCATCGTGGTTGAACCCACTGAGAGCGGGGAGGTGGAGAGCGGGGAACTCCGCTGGCCTCCTGATGATCTGAGCCCTACAGACGACCCCAGAGACAAACAGGCCCAGGCTGCAAGTAAGTTCATGTTAACCCATAATTTAATTGAAATTACTGTTTGTATATAAGTGCTCTGGTGCTTCAGAGTCTGTTGAATATCACTGTATTCTGTTACAAATCTACTGCTCTTTTGATGTTTGAGTATTAGTCTTAAAATATTAATAATCTGTCTGGGAATGGGAATGAATGCAGCACAGTATCACTTAGCATTAAAGGCAGTTATTTCTACATCCGTGCTCTGTTGATTCATCAAATGAATGTATGTAGGATCCAGCCTTGACACATCACTGATTTCTTGTGGGTAGATGTCAAGTACTAGCCAAAGGCACTTCTAGTTGAATACTGTGTTGACACGAGCAATAGTTATTCTAGCCCAGCAGCATCAGCAGCTCTATGCAGTTGATGTTTTCCAGCCACAGGCATTGCTAGAGCAGTTTTGGGGGCTTCAGCCCCCCTTGTCTTTCATCTCAACCCTCCTAAAACTTTTCCCTTTAACTCAACTGTCGGATCCCTTTAAAATCTGTTATAATCTTCAGCATGTTTGCTGTAGCGACTGCAGTATCTGAGGTTAAGTAAGGCCTTTAAAAACTTTTTTTTACTTCCAAACAAGGTTAAGTTCATTTTAGGTGTTTGTCTAAACGTTCCTTGTTAAAAATTACATTCATTGGGGGTAAATAAATTTATTTGAGTTTCAATTCATTGTAATTCTACAGATCTTTCTTCTGTGAAAAACAATACTGTTAGTTCCATACATGATAAAAATAACAAATATAACATTGCACCCGAGTTCAACAGCTGCAGAAGTAAAAATCCCATTCATTTTTGTTCTATACGGGGGAATTGATAAACCTCTAAGATGGACCTACTGTGAGCTATGAGCTTGCTAATGGATGGTGCATAGTTTGTTGAAAATATGTTTTTATATATATACAATCAACCTCTTCAAATCAATAGTTTTATCCAAGGTCATTGACATTCGCAATGATTGCAGTTCTTTCCCTCAGTAAAGCTGTTAAAGGGATAGTTCACCCAAAAATGAAAATTCTGTCATCAATTAGTCACCACTGAATTCCAAAGTATTTTTCCCATACTATGGAAGTCAATGGCCACTGGCAACTGTTTTGTTACCAACATTCTTCAAAATATCTTCTTTTGTGTTCAACAGAAGAAAGAAACTCATACAGTGTTAGAACAACTTGAGGGTGAGTAAATGATGACAGAATTTTCACTTTTGGGTAAACTATTCCTTTAAGTATACACAGTCTTGTACCTTTTGTCATTCTGTTTGATTTTCAAACACTTTTTTGCTTCAAGTCAAAGTTTGTAATGTTGTCAATCACCTCGTAGATGGTTGGTTTGTTTCATGGCTCATAACTCTTTTTGAAAATCCCTATCGGAAAAAAATAAGTGGGCGGGCAGTGCTGCACTTAATTCAGGGGTGTCCAATCCTGCTCCTGGAGGGCCACTGTCCTGCAAAGTTTAGCTCCAACCCCAATTAAACACACCTGAACCAGCTAATCAAGGTCTTACTAGAAACTTCCAGGCAGGTGTGTTGAGGGAAGTTGGAGCTAAACTCTGCAGGACAGTAGCCCTCCAGCACTGAGTTTGGACACCCCTGACTTGATTGAGTGGTAAAGAAAAACAAAACACTGAGACATTTTCAAAATGTGATCTTTTATGTTCCACAGAAGAAAGTCATGTTTGGAACTACATGGTGCGTGAACATTACCTTTAAAATGATCTAATTTTACTCTATTCAAAGATTGGCTTGTTCAAACCTTTCCCAGAATTCACAATCCTGCCCTTTCCGAGTCTCAAGTTCGCTACCTCCTTTCTAAACGAGGCTGAGGACCATGTATGTTCAGGTAGAGAGAGCTGTCACGTCGCGTTTGTGCTCTACAGTGGAGACTCTCCCCGAACGGAGCACTAAAAGCACATCGTCAGGTGGCTCCTGGGAAATGAACCACTGTCAAGTTCAGCCACCTCCAGTGAGAGCGGCGACCTGACTGATTTTCACTCATTTTCTGCCACTGAATGCTGCTGGCAGAGTGATCTTGTTTGGAGCCGCAGGTTTCCGAAAGTAAACATGTCACTCTCATAGGATCTCAAAGATACCAAAGCTCGCTCGAGTGAGAGATATTACAGTTCCCCGTCACGGAAGCTGCAGGTATGAGTCGGCTCTGATTTATAAGTGTTCCTACGCATGCTCATGCACCCACACATGCAGAAATACACAACTACAGTGCAGCCAACACACTTGAACAATCTTAAAGGCTTTTTTTCCCCGGGCCTCTGTGAATAATGAAGGTTGGAACCGTAGGTGGACCAAACATGTCATGTTATTTTGAAGACTAAAGCATTCTGGCACACTTCTCAGAGAGTTCTTGAAATCCGAGGCAGTGTTTAAAATATGTGTATCTACCTCTAGCCTCCATTAGTTCTTAAATTAGCCTAGTATTTCACAGTGTCGGGCTTTCAGATTGATACAGCCCCTTTGACTCTGTGTTAAAAAAGGAGTTTCATGCCCATTCTGCTGCGGTCCGTGGCTCCACTTCATAATATGTCAATCGGCACCGACAGCAGCAGCGGGACGCACGGCATCTACCTATTATAAAGTGAGCGCTGCACACCTGCCCCATTACTCACTCCCACACTGCCCACCTCCATATCCAACCTTCTTTTATTTATCATTTCATCCCTCCCTCTCTTCCTCTCTCGTTCTCCGTCTCTCATTTGCTGGAGAGCTCTTCTGATGTGCTTGTCCTTTGGGACTTTGAGCTGTGGTGTTACCATAGCAACCACCTTGTCAAGCAGGCATCAGAGTCCTGTCTTTCTCCAGCGGCAGCGCGCCGCTGAGCGCTCTTCCCCACTGACCCATTCACTTCGTTTGACTTTATCATAATACATTTTTTGTGCTATATTAGTGCTGCTATTAATCAGAGGTGAGGCGAAAAATAGCATGCTTCTTTGATTGGTTCGATGTGGGAAGCCTTTTGTGGTGCTGAAATGTTTACTTAAATATGCCTCCTGATGCAGACCGAGCCTGCTGTGCGCGTGGACAGACAAATGCATCAAGTTACGCAGAAACAGCTTTCACATGCCTGCGCATACATATTCCTGGCCACTTCAGGTCACTCATACTCATTTTTCTACCTTGTTAAAAGACCTGCATTGCTGGTGACCATCTTATGTTGGTTTTTTGGATGCTAAACCAAGCCTCCTTTGGTCAACCAGCTTCTTCAGAAAGACCATGCTGGTTGTTTGTGGTGTGGGTATGGTGGTGCACCAGCTATGGCACCATACTAGCAATAATCCAGCTTGGACCAGCATGGAAATTCAGGTTATTTAAGTTTGTTTGGTTCTTGTCATGTTCATTTAACCTCCTGAGACCCAGCTATGGAGTTTTTGTCTCTGTAGTGGACATTATATTTTAGTGAATTTCTCTGAGACCTCACGTCACAGTGTTCAGTCTGGATGTACAGAGCATATTCAGGGCTTTTCAGAGATACCAAATGTTTGGAAGTTTCTCCATGACTACTCCCTCTGCTTGGTCTTTAAAAATGGTTGACATTAATTTAGTGATAAAATTGTACATCCTTATGGAAATATGATAATATTTTGTAATTATCATTTAAATCTGATAAATTTTCAAATTGTTTGTCATAAATCAACATCTCAGGAAAATGTTATTTGGTTTCAAACCAAAATATGACTTCCTGTTATGAAACACTGTAGAGGACACCAGGACTAAAAGCATATTTATTATACATGTTGGGAGACAAAAGAATTGAATAGGAAAACAAATTATATATGTAAAATGGTATATCAAATAATTTTGTTATATCTTTTATAGCATAGTTGAGAATCATCCTTATACAAAGTTTGGTATAAAAAATCCTGAAACCTAAAAATTGATTGGTGATTCATCCCATTGTTTTTGCCTTTTAATGTCTATTCGTGTCATTTTTTTTTTTTTTTTAGAAAAACTGAGTCCTGGGACATAGCATAACATACAGTATGAATAAAATATAATTTTTAAAAATATATATTTTTCCTTTTTTTTTTTCTTATGCTCTAAACCAGTGATGGGCAAACTTGGCCCTTCCAGGCCACTTTCCTGCAGAGATTTGATCCAACCCTGATATG